TTGTGATTATTTGGAATTCACCTAAAGGTGGTTTTGTGAGACCATTCGTGTCTCGTTTGTAATCGTTTGAAAACTTATTTGGTTGATAGTGGAATCGGATTTCGATCCCGTGGACGTACCTTACATTGAGGAAACCACGTAAAAATTCTTGTGTTTGGTTTAGGTATAATATATTTTTATATATTATATTTGTGGAGACCCAATTCAATTTGGATACAATTAGAATTTGATTTCAAAATCCAAAATTCAATATATATGGCTTTGTTTTTCCGTAACATGGTGAACGGCTGCTACAAGTTGTATTGATTAAAAAATCAATTTGGTGGGTTAACAAAGTTTATTCATATTTTTTTGGTGAGATAGTCCTTGTGGAAACATCAATTCGGTGCTCTGTTTCGGCTTGGGTAATCAATTCAGTGGCAGCAAATTGGTTAAGGTGTGAATCTTCGATTAGTTTTCGGTTGATTTGGGTTCGTTTTTTTGGATCTTATTTATTTTTAGTTTTTGAAGATTTTTGTTCATCTATTTAGTGAGGTCTTTTCTCTTGTTTATTTGTGATTATTTGGAATTTACCTAAAGGTGGTTTTGTGAGACCATTCGTGTCTCGTTTGTAATCGTTTGAAAACTTATTTGGTTGATAGTAGAATCGGATTTCAATCCCGTGGACGTACCTCACATTGAGGAAACCACGTAAAAATTCTTGTGTTACCTTTGATTTAATTTTTCCGCATTAATTTTATTCCCATTGATTGATTTACTTGTGGAGAATCATATATTTTTCCTAATAATTAATGCAACAAAATGTAGAGATGAATGGCAGTAGAGAAGAACGAAAATTAGAGTAAAAATCCAAATGAGAGACTGCCTTTATATAAAAAAAATTCGTAGTTGTATGGTTTAAATTAAACAGGTGCAAAACCTGTTTGAATAGGTATTCTACCTGTTCGGTTTGAATGAATAGTTATGGAACCTACTGGGTTTAAATTTCAAACAGATATGAATCTGTTTAATTTAAATTCAAACAGATATACATTTGTTCGAGTGGGGAAAAATCAGAGCCAATTTTGAAATTAATTTTCAAAATTCAAATTCCAAAAAATTAGATTTTAATTTTAGAAAAATAAAATTCAAATATTTTTGGTCCAAAAAATAAGTAATACTGGGCCGGACAAGCCCAACCCAACCTCACACCACGCACTCACGCAGAGTTTAATTTACCCATAACATTTCCCTTCTACAAACTTGGGATGCCCTTTGGAGCCCTCCCCAAGTTACAATCCCAAGCTTTATAAACCCATAAAACCTTGGGGTGCCCTTTGGAGCCCTCCCCAAGTTACAATTCCAAGTTTTATAAATTTTTCTCACCAAACCACTGTGGGACAAGCCTTTATTCAAACCTTAAGAAATTTTCACCAAAAACTCTATTTCCATAGAGTTTACTTTGGCTTTAATTCTCCATTCACCTGATAATAGTTTTGAGCAACCAAATATATTACGTGAATCACAACATGACATAGAACGCGTTACCATTTAGACCCGCCAAATTTGACGCATGAGTCCCACCAAAAAATTAGATCATAGTTGAGGAAAATTTTTCCATAACTTCTAAAACCCTTTTCTAACAATCATGATATCTTAATTTCTAATATCTTAATTTCTACTATTGTGTTTCTTATGCACTAATTATGCTCATTTGTAGTCAGAGAGGTTCTTAGAAATCGTGATACCTTAATTTTTACTATTATGTTTCTTATGCACCAAGAATTATGCTCATCGTACGAGGGATTCTTATCTTCATTTTCGATACACATGATTTTATTTTATTTTTTAGTTCCTAGCTTCATGTTCAATAATTGCAGTACGCTCATGTAGTTAGTCTTACGACGCTAGCACCACGTATCAGGATGTGCTATTTTGGGCAACAAGTATATTATCGTATTATATTTTTCTCTCACGTACATGTGATGTTTATAGTTGTGAAACTTACATCTATGCAAAAGAAAAATACACTAATGTGATCTACACGTTATATTAAAATTGTATTTAAATCATGAATTTAGATAAAGAATAAATTTTTTTTTGATAAAAATGTGAATAAATTTAAGTTTCAAATTTTTATTTTTTTTTCATTTTACTTACCTTTTCTATCTAAAAATAATTTAGCTTGACTCACAGTGACTCAAAGTGAAAGGAGGATGAGGAGAAGTGACTTTTTAGTGGTGTTTTAGGAATTTTTTTATTTTTTATTTTTTAAAATTTTTAGTGATTTTTTTTTAAAAATATTCAAAATGTTTTAGATTTCTAGATTCAGCTCAACAAAATTAACCCAAAAAAATTCAGAAACAACAAAAATAAACCAAAATAAGTAATTTTTTTTGGTCTTATTTTCGTCTTAAGTGTTTTGTTTTGGAATTTTTTTTTTTTAAAAAAAATTTCAAATTCATCGCGATAAGAAGGATTAACAAAATATAAAAAATTTAACATAATTTTTTTTTAAAAATCACTAAAGACAAAAAAATAAAAATAAAATTAAAGAAGAGGTCGCTTTTATTTTTGGCTGCCAATACTATGGAGACATTTTATCTGCCTCATTTATTAGGTGGAGGAAAAGTTGTCTCATTTCAATTCATCTGGTTCAAAATTGAGAAGTATGATTAAGGGTTGGATTAATAAGTGGGCTATTTAGTAATTTTTTGTTAAAATATAAAGTAAAAGTATAGAAAGTATTTGAGAATGATGTTTTGGCTTTATACGAAAAATATGCAAAAATTGAGAGAACATAAATAAATTTTGGACTTTTTTGTATGATTTTTTTTAGAGTTTGTTTGAGAATTGATTTTTTTAGTAACTTTTTGATTTTTTATGACTAGACGGTCAAAAAAGTTGAGAAAATGTGTTGGGTTTTTGTATTGAATTTTTGACTTTTTGCTAAAATGTTTACTTTCCAAACATGCTCTAAGTAATTTTTTAAACATTTTAGATAAAATACTAACTTCTCATACAACTCCTTCAATAAAACTTGTTTAAAATTGCCTTGAAAAAAAAAAGAGTAAAACAACTTATTTACAATTTCGTACGGCGTCACAATCTATTCCACATTTAACAAATTCGTATGTGAAATATTTAGCATTAGATGTTTGTAAAACAATATTTACAGTCACTTTATAGACTCTATAACAAAAAATAATCTATTAAAGATAGTTTTTCCGTCTGAAAAATAATAAATAAGAATTGCAAGCACTAATAATAAATAAATTATATATATATATATGTACTTAATGTTTATATTAAAATTTAAACAATTTAATTTTTATCACCCTACAAAATGGTAAATTTGAGAGCAAAAAATAAAAAGGCGCTATACCAAAAAGAAACAGGAAACGACACCGTATCTTTTCGCGCCCATACGCCAAGTAAAGAATCCTTAGCAAAAGAAAAGATTCATAGGATCTGGTGAGCTCCAATTGCCTGCTTCACAAAAAACCTACGCACCGGTTGAGAATATATATCTACACGCCGCCTAAATTCCAAATAGGGTAAATTACACTATGTTGCATTTATGTTTAATCATTTTTATATTTGGGCAATTAAAGTTTATTTTTTTGTTATTTTGCCTATTCATGTTTGAAGTTTTTTTTTTCAATTTAATTTAAAAATTAACTTATTTTTAAAATTAGATAAAAAATAATGCATCGACAATCACGTGATATATAAAACACACCTTTAATACAAATTTAAATCTTAATATGATAATATATTTTTTTATATTATTGTTGGCACTATATTATTTTTATTTGTAAGTAAGACACATGACATACTCTTACACACTAGGAAGTTGATGGAAATTATGAAAAAACATGGAACACATATGGAGAAGATGATAGAAAAGTAGGTCATAGAAGGATCATCATGGAATATGAAGTAGAGGAATTGAGAAATCATGAAAGGACACATATCAATACAATAATAAAGATAGAAGAATAGGGAATAAATAGCTATTCATGACTACATTGTAGCCCCCAACAAATTCAAACTCTACGTCTTTTTCATTTTATTTATCTTTAAATTTCAGCATTTGCTTTTCAAGCCCTGCACTTATATTTCATTGAAGTATATTAAGGATTGGTTTGGGAAGTGGGTTGGCTTTTTGGCTTTTTAATTTTTTTAGCTATTTTAGCCTGAGCTAAAAAGCTTGATTTGGGAAGGATTTTTTGACTTTTTGACTTTTTTGACTTTTTTTGTAAGAGAAGAGTGTAATGATTATGGGTTGGATGTGATATTTTGTTTGTTGTGGCTAAAATAATATATTTGTCTTTTGTAGCTAAAATAGCAAAAAAAAAACCCACAAAACCACTTCCCAAACGGTGCTTAACTCTTATGATTTCAGAACTTAATTAGAGTTTCGAAATTACCCTTACTAAAGGTAACATTTGTAATTGTTTATTCATTTAATTAATTATATTTTTTGCCTAATTTTTTCCTTCCATTCTCTTTTTTGCATTCAAGTTAAAAATATCAGTTCTTCTTTTAACACACCACAATAAAGTTATCTTCATTCAGATTAAAGGATCTCATCACAATTGTTTGATAAATTTACTTATTGAATATCTATAAAAAAAAATTCAAATCCTTACTAACACGTTCTAATTACATTTTTAATCCTCGAACTGTCAGAATAGCCAAGAGTTATGTAGAAATTAACATGATATTTTTTTTTGTCTTATTTTAAATATAAGTTAATTTAAAAAAAATTAAGAAAAATTTGAAGAGCTAAATTAAGAAAATAATCAAATATAAAAGGGCAAAGTGTAATTTACCGTTTAGAGAGATTCTTAATTTTTTATACCAACGTGTTGAAAACTGATTGGCACACCCATCTTGCTTACGTGGTCGCCCTCACACCAAATCAATAATATCGAACCAGTACATGACACGTAGTCATTTGTGTTTCGTTGAAACAGTGCCTTGCATAAATCTAAAGTTTCACTCCACTTTCTTTTTCCAAAGTCATTTTCCCACTTGGATTCTCTTTTCTTGCAAACACGCATAAAAGAGAGAAAGCGAGAGAAACCACAAATGGAACCCCGCGAAAATAGCCACCACAGCAACAAGAGAAACAGATCAATGTCGGATACCGAGTCACAGACGAGTCAGTTCGACTCGTTCCACTCCCCGCTCCGATCGGAGTCCCCTTTCCGCTCCGACGACCCGGATCCGCCCCCCGACGAGACTCCGGCGAAGTCCAAGTCGATCGTCGCCGTCGACAAGTACTTCTCCCCCGTCCGATCTTCCATCCACAAGAAGAATCCGGAGAATTTGAATTTTAAACAGCCGCCGGGGAAGGCTCCGGAGGCGTTGCCGGCGCCGGTGGTGGTGTTTAATCGGTCGGTGAGGGAGGAGGTGGCGGCGGGGGTGACGAAGGTGGGCGGCGGCGGCGGCGGCGATGGAGTTTATGGTAGGGGTTTGGAAGACGGGGTGGGAGGAGAGACGAGGTCGAGGGCGGCGGTGACGGCGATACTGCGGAGGTCGAGTAGAGAGATGATGGTGAAGAAGGCGGAGTTAGGGTTTAGGGTTTGTGAGGTGATTTTGTGCTTGATTTCGTTCTCGGTTATGGCTTCTGATAAGACTCAGGGATGGAGTGGTGATTCCTTTGATCGATACAAGGAATACAGGTGCCTTTAACTTTTCTCTCCTCTCTCTTTTTAACAAATCACTCTAAATCTGATATAATTTTCTGAAATAAAGAGTTTGGCTTTTGTTTTTGTTAGACTTCATTTTATTTTTGTTGTTTCTTTTTACCATTGGGGGTTTCCAGTGCTCAATTGAGTTTTAATTACTTCAATTTTTATTCTTTGATGTTATGCTGAAATTCGGAATATATATATATATATATATATGTATATTATATGTAATAAGACCCAAAAAAAAAAAAACAACAACAACAACAAAAAAAAAATTATGCCTATGGAAGTTGAAACATTAGGATACAATTCAAAATAATTGAGTTTAAATTCAGGGAGTGCTTACTTGGTGGGCTATTTCGAATTTGAATAAATTTCCATATAGAATTGGACTGAAATTTGAGTTGAGAGGACTATGTGAGTCTCTCAAGTATTCCTACTGTGAAATTCCAGATGAATGGTTTTGAAATTTGTTCAAGTAGCTTAGATGTGGCTGATTGTCAGAACAAAAATAATAGGGGATTTGGGCTGTCCTGTATTTGGAATAAATTAGTGATTGGGTAAGGATGGCCAATCAATTTACAAATTGAAAGCTATGGCTGACAGTTGAAATTTCTTATAACAAACAGATTAGAGGAGAGTTAATAATACTAGGCTATAAATCGAATGGCTTTCTACGAGCTCTTAAGTTATGGCGTTGCTTTTGCCCAACTATGTAAGAGACCTTCCGACTGAATCACTCCCCTACCTCATGTAACTTCCATCTTTCCTACCCCGTGGGCAAACTCTCCACCACCACCCCTTCAAACTCCCCACCCTTGAAATCCCCCCTTCATGGATACCACCACAGTACCACCACCTCAGCTGTGCAACCATTATTAACTTAAGAAGCATGGTCACGGACGTACAAATTTTCAAAAATGTGCAACACAATGAGTCGGGGACTAGGGATGACAATTTGAACCCGATCTGATGGGGACCTGACCCCCCGACCCCGAATTGAGCGCTTTTTTCCTAAAAAATACTCCCGATGGGCTGGGGATGGTATTTAAACATAAATCTCAGATGATATTCGGGCCGGGGACGGTGATACATTTTTCAGCCCCGCCCGTCCCCGTCCCCGTCCCCGTCCCCGTCCCCGTCCCCGTCCCCGTCCCCGTCCCCGTCCCCGTTTAGCCCCCGATTTTTATATATATGTGTGTGTGTTTAGAGTTTAGTGACTCACACTGTCACACACAAAACAACCTCTCCTTTCTCTTTCTCTCACACACGACCGCCACTCCTCTCCCTCAGCGTCGGTGGAGTCTCTCACACACGACCGTCGCTCCTCTCTTTGCTCCCTTACCGCCGCTCCTCTCTCTCCCGTCAGCGTCGGCTCCTCCTCTCCCTCTCACGGTATCTCTATCTCTCTCTCTCTCTCTCTCTCAAGGACGAGGTTTTTGGTTTTTGTTTTCAGATCTGGAAATGATGAAGATGAAAATGAAGATATTATTGTCAATGAAGATGATGTTGTTGATGTTGTTGTTGATGAAGGTTTTTTGCTTTTGTTCTTGATGATGATGTTGTTGATGATGATGATGCTGATGCTGATGCTGATGCTGATGCTGATGCTGATGAATTGTTGTATTCTTGCAAACACGCATAAAAGAGAGAATTTTGCCGGGTAATGTTTAGGGTCGGAGAAACCCGATCCCTATTAGGCGGGGGCGGGGCCGGGGCCAGTGGCCAGGGCGGTGATAGGTTTCCCGTCAGAGATCGAGGTCAGGGACGGGAAAAATTCGACCATCGGGGATCGGGGACGGGAAATGTGATCTCCAGCCCGCCCCGTTCCGTTGTCATTCCTATCGAGGACACATGCAAAGCATATTATATTATATAATTGTTATGTCACTAGAATAGCATACCATGATTGATGAATTGATAAGAATAAATATTTGACAGATAATATATATATATATTTAAAAAGAAAAATTCTATTCTTACATAAAATTCATATAAAAAATTTGACAAGAATGATGTGATATTGTTATTCTTGTAAATAAATTCATCTTCAATAGTGTTTTAGTTTGAAATGAAAGGTTCACAGTGAGTCACATTATTATATATGATTTTTTTGTTTGTATAACATTACTCATTTAAAAAATAGGTCCCTAACGTGTACCAACATGTTGTCAGCATGTCCCCATTGTGTTGTCAGCATGTCCTCAGCATCCCTAGCGTGTCGGACACATGTTCGTGTCAGACATTGGTATGTGATTTATAGAGAGGTGTCCATGCTTCATAGTTATCATCAACACCATCCTGTAATGTCACCAGCCCTGTCATCACTACTAGCCCTCTCCCTAACCCTCACCCAATTAAACTCCCCAATTCTAGCAACTCCGCTGCCACCCCCGCAGCTCTTCCGCCATTGTCAACACCACCCATGGATCACCATTATATTAGCACCACCATCATCAAGATTCAAGACCACGACACCCCTTGAAAACATAGAGCATCTCAACCTTGATCCCCACTCCTTGAACACAGAACAACGTCAAATAACATCAAGCCAACAATGGATACTATTAAAAATTTCTAGCTGAATGAGTGAGTTTTTAGTTGCACCATTGGAAGAACTCTACTGGTCAGGGTGGTTGCTACCTCTGGCGACCTTGGTTGCATCTGCACATCACATTGAATTTAGGCTGCCATCTAGTGTTCCCATTGGTGGAGTGTCTCTAGGGGAGCAAGATGAACTCCATAATAGCATGAGGCGTTGAGATTGGGGTTTTGGGGTTGAGGGAAAGGAGTGAATGAAGATAAAGGGTTGGGCTAGATTGGTTAGGGAGGTGGGGGTAGGGGTTAGATATTGGGGTTTGAGTTCCGATTGGGTTTGGAAACTTTTTAAAGAGAATTCCAAAGCTATCCCTTAAACTTAATGGTTGGTGGTAATTGGACCAAAGTAAAAAATAGAGCATACTTTATGGGGTGAAAGTGTAATTTACCCCAAGGTTTTTTTTTTTTTTGGGTAAATTTTTTCCCCATTCTATGGCTGGAGCCTGGATTTAGCATTTAGTTAAGGTTCAGTGTAGGATTTAGGGTTTTAGACCATACTGTATGGATTGAAACTTAATTTACCCTTTTATTTAAATTTCTTTTTTCCCCCATTATATGGCTGGAGCCTGGATTAAGCATTTAGTTACGCCAAATCACATACTTCCCTACCACTTAAAGTAGATTATTGGTACCCTATAAGCTTTGCAGCGATTTATTGATTTAAAGGAAATGAAACTTCCCGAGGATTATATTGATATCATGGATCAGGGATCTCTCAATAGAGTCTTTGATCTATAGCATCATTAACTATTATTATTGGATTGGTATTTCCATAATACCTGGATTCCAATCAAATTTTGCTTTTATCTATTAGAGGATTACATTCTAATTATTTTAGTATTTTTTGTCATTGATATATAGAACCCACCAAAAATCCTCCTTAAGTGCGTTGATAAAATATTTCTGCACTATTTCCAAAATATATATTCGAGTTATTCCATTACAAGGGGTCATTGTTTGGTGAATTGGTAAAAGCTAGCCAGTAGGATTCGAATTTGAGTTTTGTGTATATTATGCCAAAGTTTAGGCTTGTATCCTGTCTACCTTTCCCAAGACCCTTGGGCACCCGTACTGGGAATGCCAGTTATTCTAGTCCTATTAGGCCTTTTCTTCGCCAGTAGTAGGCTAATGGTATATAAGTTCCTGGGTCATGTAACTGCTGTGTTCTCTTGCCAATTGGGTTTTCTATTAGTAGATAGGGATCTGGTTTCTATACCATAGAAGTAACTTGTTTACTAAGGTACTTATAATTCTATTTTAGAAAATTTTCCGTTACCTTGCATAGAAGGCTAAAGCATGTCTTCAAGTCTTTTGGCCAAACAACTAATTTTTTTTTGTCTCAAAAGGTGTAGGAGAGGGACTCTGTCAGGGGAATCATTAGAACTTTGTCACAATAATTTTTATTTGTATCAAACAATTTATTTATTTATTTTCTTTCTTTTTAGCATTACATGTTCTATGCTGATGCTAATTTACTGCTACATCGGTACGGAAGACTCGGCCCAAACACTTGATGTGTTGTACTTGAAATCATTGTCAGTTGTTTTGTTGGTGCAAAACAACTGCACTCCGTCTCTACGATCTACTGAAACGTTAACTTCCAAATTGCAATTTTTTTCTCATTTGATGCCAATAATGCACATTTTTGTTTTAGTTGTTTTTTCATTTTATTTGGTATTCCTCATCCATTCTTCACTCTTACAATTTAAGGTGTTGACAGACCCTAATTCATGTCAGGTATTGTGTAGCCGTGACTGTTATTGGATTTGTATATTCTGGTTTTCAAGCATGTGATCTATCCTACCATTTGATCTCTGGGAAATACATCTTCTTTCACCCCCTCCGTTATCACTTTGATTTTGCAATGGATCAGGCAAGTATTTCATTTGCATTATGTATCGACTATTTTTTATTCTGCTGTTGCTCACCTTCATGACATGAGAGCAAGTATACTGTTGTGTCATAATTTAGCTTTACTGGTGATTGGGTGGACCCCAGTTGATTCAGGGTTCTAAAGTTTTACTTTCTGTAAGCATGCCACAAAACACCAATGTTTTGTCAAAAACAGTGAATAATCTAATAACCAGCTTTGGTGAATCTGTACTGTGCCCCAGTTAGCAGGTTTCGTAAACTAACTGTGAAGTGTAGTATGTAAGGTGAAATTAGCCTAAATTCTTGTTTGAGCGGAATGCGAGCCTTTTATGTTGAGGTTGGTGATAAAAAAGAAAAATTCAAATTGCCGGAACCTTGTGTACTTTGTCAATTTTTTTAGTTATCAAGCACTAGTTATAATAAGACTATGGTGGGCCATCTTTTATTTGTTGGACCATACCTTCTGATTCGGTGAGCTCTGTCATTTATCTCTGAGATCTCCATTTTTCAAATAAAGTTGGTTGTTCAAGTCCTAATTACTCGGTATGTTGATGCAAGTTTGGCGCTCTCACCTGGGTCCATCGGGTTAGTCTTAGCACTGATTGGGTATGATCAGTTTGTTTGGTTTTATGCTTGTTTCAAGGGTCTGGTCAAATATACTCTATTTAGCTACTATAGGGCCATGACCTTGAATTGGGAAGCCCTTCTATGCTTTTAGGTAGAAGCTTGTCCAAATAGTTGAACCTTGACAATTATCAGCTCCTTTTGTTGTTTGGGGAAACTAATTTGTGGATGGGCTTGGTGCCACCCACCTGTCCTTGAGCTTTAGTATCTGCCTGCAAACTGCATGTATATGGGCGACACCCTCGGTTTAAATTATCAGATCTTGAAAATGCTTTCAGTACATTTTTGGCCTGTTTGGATTGAGTGATTTGGATAGAGAAGGAAAGAAATCGATTTCTCTCGGTCCTAATCACTAGTTTGAATTACTGAAGAGGAGAGAAATGAGGGACAAATGGAGAGAAACATCTTTCTCTTAAAACTTATTTTTTGAATCTCTCCAAAAGTGGAGAGATTGGCAGAGGGAAGAAATAAGGAAAGAAGTCACTTATTTTCTCTCAGCTTAACCAAACAATAGGAAGAGAAAACACAATCTTTTATCTCTTTGAACTTAACAAATCATTTATTTTCCTTTCTCTCCTGAATTCCCATATAGACTGAAGTTCATGTTTGCTTACTAGGACTGAAGTGTTTTGTTGATTTAACTGGCAGATTCTGGCATATCTTCTGATATCAGCATCATCAGCAGCAGCCACCAGAGTCGATGACTGGGTATCAAACTGGGGTAAAGACGAGTTTACACAGATGGCTAGTGGGTCTATCGCGATGTCCTTCCTGGCATTTGCTGCATTTTCCCTTAGCTCTCTCATATCCGGCTACAATCTTTGCAACCGCACCACCACCTAATTTCTGCCAATCGCCATATGTGCTTTCTTTGGTTGGTTTTAAGGCCGGAGGGAATGCACAACCAGAACGTGGATGGAAACAATTTCTGAAATTTGTACAGATGGAAACATTGTGAGAGGTTTGTAGCATTTTTTTTTTCTCTTCTTCTTTTCATTACAATGAAGGGGGATAAAGTTTGTAAACATTAGGGTGTTTGGATCTCTTATGGAAATGAAACTATTCCACCACTGTATTTAACAAAAATAAAAAAAGCCATATGATTTTTCATTGCATGTAAAGCCATAAGGGCCATATTTTTTTGTCCTCCTGGATGGATGTTAATAGTGAATTACATCTTTGTAATTCACTATGTTTTTTTGTATCCTTCTTGTTTAACCCTCTTTGGTGCGTGACCATAGGAGCTCCAATGTTTTTTGGGCAGGCTGGATAGGAGGGGCTTAGACTGGCTTAACAATGCGTGAGTATTGCACACACAGAATTCACGAACGTTTCTATTCACGAGCCTAATAGTGTTTGGTTTACCATTAGAGGTAGAGGTTAGCATGGTCCGGATTGATTTAGGATGAAATTAGGATCAATTTGTTGTTTATGATTTCATAAAAATTGGAATAAAAACAATTCATTTAAATCATGAAACCAATTCGAACCAAAATCATTTAAATACAGTTCGGTTTGGAATCATAGTTTCACACAATATGTTCACAAGAAAAAATCATAAAACATTCACCAAACTAGTATTAAACAAATATTGTTCAATATTAATCTACTTATGATTTTTTCGAAACATAAAAATATTGTTCTATCAATTACTTAAACAACCATAATATCTAGTAAATAAACATATTGTTTAATATGTAATATGTATAAAACTCCCATCAAATAAACATTGTCGTGGCAGCAATAATTATAAAATTAAATTTATGTTAAATAATTAAAAAATCAATTCTAGTGACATAGAAAAGAAAAGAAAATTGAAATGATATGAATTTCGGTTTGATTTTATATATAAGAAGGTAGGATTGTATGCATCAGGGTGTAGGGTGTATGGTAGGTATATGGCTTAAGTTATATATGGTCTAATTCGATTCCAATCCGGAACCGATCCATAGAGATTGGCTCTTCAATTTTTCAAATCAGGACGAAACCACGGATTAGAAAAATCAAACCAAATTTATCGGATTAGATTGGACCGGTTCAGTTTATCAATTTTTTTAGATTCTTTATTCAGCCAGCCCTAGGTGTGCGCTGATCAATTTGGTGAGAAAATCATAACCCAAAACACCTTTGGTGGATTAAGAAATTTTCAACGTCAAAGTTAACGAATTAGTTGAATATTTTGACAATTTTAATCCAACCGTTTAAGCAAGTTAGTCAGTTATTTATTTCGAATTTTAATACAAAATTCACAAATTAATTGAATTATATTTCACAAAGTAGTATACGAAACAACCAATTTAAAAAAAAAAAAAATGCGATGAAAATGATAAAGTGTTTTTAGTAATTCTGCATGTACATGTACGCTTGTTGGATCAATTTCTACATGCTTTTCCTGGCTGCTGATAAATTAGAGGTTTTTTTCTTTTTCTTTTTCTTTTTTTGGGTTCTCTCTCTTCACTTTAGAGTGACTTTATTCTTTAAAACGCCGTGCATCAAAAAGCTAGTTTCACCTTTTTTATTTAATTGAGGGTCATATTAGACCCATTATGTACCTAAAAAGCTGATATATGATGTCTTTTCATGCTCAAACTTTTTTAATGATTGATGATAAATGATAAATTTCGAATCTTTGATTACTGTCTTTCATCTCTTCTTTTTACATTGTGGATCTCATAATAGTATTAAAAATTGATTGACCATGGTGTGACATATTATTTCTCATTATTCATCATTTAATACATAATTTATAAGTGGTCTTTTAAATGATCAAAGAATTAATAGTTCTGTTCTATTTAAAATGAGAATGAATTAAGGTTATGAATATATAATTATAGTATGAGAATCGAGTTAATTCCATAATTTTAAGTTCATTCTAGGTTCGTTTGGGAAGTGGATTAACCTTTTGATTTTTTGATTTTTTTAATTAGGAACTAAAAAGTTTCGTTTGGAAATAATTTTTTGAATTTTTTAACTTTTTGTAAAATAAATAATATAATAATTATGAATTAAATGTGATGTTTATTTTTTACTAAAATAATCTTAAATTCACCCAACTTATTCTTCCCAAACGAAGCCATCTATCTGAATCAGCGTAGAATAAAAATATTCTCATTTGTTAAGGGGTTTTCGTAGGGCTCATCAAATGGCTGGGCTTGCAGGCAAGACTTGGGACCAAGCAAGACTTGGGACCCAAGATTTAAGATCATATTGGCTTCGTTTCAGAAATTGAGTTGCTTTTTAATTTTTATTTATTTTTTTATTTATTTTTTGATTATTTTAGCTTGAATTAAAAAGTCTTTTTTGGGTTAGACTTTTTAACTTTTTTAACATTTGTGAAAGAAAAATAAAATAATATGATTTGAATGTGACATGTTATCTTATTGATTTTTTAACTTATTATATTTGTTTGTAACTATTTTAACATTTTAACTCTAAACCCAACATGTCAAGCGAGGGCAAAATGCAATTGTGTTAGTTTGTGATTAATATGATGAGGTACGATTTTTTTTAAAAAAAATTAAGTTATTTTTTATCATTACCCTCTCAGTGGCACAATGTGATGGTTTATGATTCATATGGAGTGGTAAGAAATCTTCGCCTTTATTTTATTTTTTATCCTTTTATGTAATTGCATTCTTAGTCATATAATATGGGTAATGTTAAGAATATTAAATTTTTTATCAAATAAATGATCAAATATCTCGTGTGGGGTTCACAATTTTGTGGACCCCATACCTATATAAGACATTTAGTCATTTATTTAGTAGAAAATTTGACTGGGACTCCCAGTGGGATTAGGATAAACTCTCTAAGAGTCTTATCTTTACCCAAACTGAAGTCTTCTCCCAATCTAGTACTCTTGTCCATATCCAAGTTGAGTTCCCTCTTCATTCTAGGATTCTTGTCCCTTATCCGATTATCTCGGATTCCGATATCTTCGGAGGCAACCTCGGCCTAGTCGAAATGACCTCGGCACAACGACCAAGACACGTGGCACCTTGGCTGACACGTCGGCGTCACCTTGCCACGTGTTGGTACTCAGAAAATATATCCCCACAGTAGACCCCATACCCATATAAGACATTTAGTCATTTATTTAGTAGAAAATTTGAAATCTATAACTTTTTTCATATGATATATTAGAATTCTGAAAAGTGTGCACACAATTATAATAATTGTGAGATTAATAATTTCCCTCTTAAAAAAAAAATCTTACACATGCGCGCGCACACACACATATATATATATATATATATACTAGTGGGTGGCACACACGATGTGTGTGCAATTTAAATAAGTAGGAATAAAACAAAATAATAATGAAATTAATATTATAATGTGTACTTAGTTTAAGTGGTATGAGTCCTCGTACTTAAACTCATAGTCATGGGTTCAAGCATTGCCCATCTCTTTGTTTAACTTTTTTTTAAAAAATAAAAAATACTGCCACATGGCATGAGGAGAGTAAAACTTGAGGACACCATAAAAGGTGTTCACTTTATAATAATATAGATAGATAGAGGATAAGAAGCTCTTTTTTCCTATGGCTTGTCATTTTTTTCCTATTTTGCCCTTTACTTATTTTGAAATTGCCTTTTTTTATCCTTTAGTTGGTTGGTGAAACAATTTGAGTGGTGACATTTTGGAAATTATGTAAGACATTTTGGTTGCTTTGGTTGGGAAGATTTGTTTTGGGTTCCCTATTTTGCCCTTAGCTTGTTTTGGAATTTTCTATTTTGCCCTTTTATTTTGTATAATTTACTAATAGTATAACAATGGGAATGAAGATTTTCTCATAAATATGCAAATATTCTAGTCAATTGTAAAAATGAATCTTTTATTTTCTTAAAATTACAAATACACCCATAATGTTTGTTAAAAATATGAATTAGTCATATAATAATACAAATTACAACTATCGTTTGTTAAAAAATAAATAATTGCTCTCCTAAGCAATAATAAATTATCAAAATTGTTCATTAAAAAATATTTCTCATATCATTAAAAACTATTAATTGACTTAATGCTTTATTTATTAACAAAATGGTTAACTAAAAGAGATTTTTCATATCATTAAAAATTGTTAATTGACTTAAGGATTTATTTATTAATAAAATTGATTATTTGTTATGCGAGTATGATTTATATATTAATAAAACGGGTCATTTGTATATATATATATATATATGTATTCTCTCCTGCTTCTCTATTAGTTCAATTTTTATTTTTATTTTTTTTTTGCAGTCCTAAAATGTATACTTTATTTTGTTTATCTTTATGTCTTCACACTTAGTCTTACTGAAAAAGAAAATAATATAATTATGTTAAAATGGTAGGACTTATTATATTTTTTCTAATTGTTATTATTTATAATACAATTTATATAAATCTAATGATTTATTCTATTTAATTTCATAAAATAATATTCTTATTTTTAAAAATTATTAAAATACAAAACTTAAATATACTGTAATAGTAGCCCGTGCCTTGCAGGGGCCTTTGTAACTAGTATATATATAAGAGCCGCTTAACTGCTTGAGATTCGCCTTTTCTTTTCGATTTTGCTCTTTCATTTTGAATAATTTATTAATAGTGGCCTATATGTTGAGTAAAGGTTTTTTCGTAATTACGTAAACATTCTTAGTCAATTATGCAATAGATTTTTCAGTAATTACATGAACATTCTTGGTCAATTATGAAATATAAATCTTTTATTTTTTAACAAATCACAAATACACCTATAAGATTTGTTTAAAATATGAATCAGTCTTATAATACTAGAAATTATAACTATCATTTGTTATAAATTTTAATTTAACACAACACTCAGGGAAAAAAAAAATCATTCTCCTATGCAATAATAAATTATCAAAATTGTTTATTAAAAAATATTTCTCCCCTAAAAGAGATTTTTATTGATAAATCCCATTTAGAAGTGTTCTAATCCAAAAAGTCCATGAAAGAATTTTTTAACCCACTTAGTCCCATGTATTTATACTTTTTGTCCATAAAGCCCTTTTTCTTGATTTGTATTATTTTCTTAGACTCTTATGTCCTTATATTTAACGTTGATATTTAATGTAAGGGGAGAAGAGAGAAGGGAAAGGATCAAAGCATAAGAAATTTCATATACAAATTAAATAACATTAA